CGTTTACATATTAATTTCTAATTTCACAAATCAACCGCAAATCACGCAAGACAAACAATATATATATCAAGGAAGGATAATTGAATTATTTAATCATTCTAGTATATCATCATGTATTTAAAGTTGTAAATTTAACAATTAATCAAACATGAAAAATAAATAACTAACTGATTTTGCATCTATTAGTAACCTATAATTATTCTCAAAATTTTATAAATTATACAAAATACCATATTGTCAATTATTAAGCTTTAATTCCATAACAGAGAATAAAGTGAGAGATTCTTACCCGAATCGGTGTCTGAAATACTGAACTTTCTACTGCGCCTACTGGCGGTCCCCGGATTTTCTGAATTTTTCTGCAGAGATTAAAACACGCTTCACGTATATAAAAATACATCAAAAATCTAAAATTGGTGTTAAAAATCTTTTCTTGGCCAATTTTAAAATTCTGGCATGGCGATACCACCGTGCTTTGGCGACGGCACCGCCGTCTGCGGTGGTGATTTGCCTCAGCCTGACCATTTTTTACCTGTTTTATTAGTTTCGACAGATTTTATACCCATTCCTATAAGAAAACACGTTAGGGGGTCTAGGTTGGCCGAAAAAAGTTAAAAAAATATAAACTGGTACCGGTTATGAGATTTTTTGGTATGGCGGCTCCGCCGGCTTACCTTCGCGACTGGGTGTTTTTCTTTGGTCAACCTGTAAAAAAGAGAACAATGAACACAATGCTGAAAAAATTGCACAAAATAGAAAACGGGAAGGGACCAATCGGAGGAGGTTTCGGGTTCTACCTGCGGCAGCGCCGCCGGACTTTACTCACGATTTTTGTCTCATCTGCCATTCCTTTTGCTCTAATTTGGCCATGTGGGTGCTCAAAATCAAATTTCAAGCGGATAGGAGAATTATTATCTTTTTTGGCGGTCAAAGATGACTCTAGCGTGACGGTGGTTGGCGGTCGGCTCCTCTCTATAGCAACTGGTCCTTCTTCTCCGGTGGGAGGCTAGCGGCTAGGGTTTGGATTTGGTGTGATGTGAGATATTTATACCCGTCTCGCGTTAATTTGGGTCGTTCATCGCGTTTGATCTCGACCATCCGATCGCGTTTAAAGAGAAAATAAATCTGAACCGTTCATCATGATTTGATTTCGATCGTCCGATCGCGTTTAAAAAAGGAATAAATCTGGACCGTTCATCGCGTTTGATTGCGACCATCTAATCGTGCCTGAGGAGAGGACGGATCCGGACCGTCCACGTGTACAAGAATGCTTTCGGGCCGTTCGATCATAGGACAAGCGGATCGCAGTGTGGCCTCCCACGTGGTACCGAGTCAGCAAATTTTGCCACGCGACATGCTCCAGTTCGTTAGAGCTGCTGACTGGGCAGTTTTACGTGGTAATTTTTTTTTTAATTATATTTTGACCTCCAGTTTCTGATTTTTTCTTTTAAAAACACCATCTGAACTCAAATTTTTTCCCATTTCTCCCAAAATTATTTTTAATTTCATCATCAATCTATTTTTTTCATAATTATACATTAAATTAAAATTTATTACTTTTAAAAATAGATTTTTATATATTTTTTGATGTTAAAATTAATTCTGTACCAAATTTCAGGCTCGAGTATTACAGAAAATATGAAAAAAAGAGCAAAAAAGGCAAAAAGAATTCAGCGGGGGGTTAGGTTGGAGTTTCGACACGGCGGCGCAGCGTGCTCTGCCATCTGGTCCTCCTTTTATGGTGGCTCTTCCTCTTGGTCAGACCAGTTTTGACCGGTTCTTGATGGAAATCTGTTTAAATCGTGGTTAAGGGATGTTTCTTGGCTAAAAGAGTAAAAAAATATATGCTTACTGGTAGTTTCGGTCCTTCAGTGCGGCAGCTCAGTCGAGCTCTGTCATTCCTTCCTCATGATTTGTTGCTTCTCTCAGTTACCTTGCATCGAAAACATGTTAGATGGCTAAGGGTGGAGAAATGGAAAAAACGGGAAAAATTTTCGGCTTACCATAGTATTTTTGGCGTTCCAACATGGTGGCGTCGGCGTTTCTTTGGTAGCTGGGTTTCCTTCTGGTCGTCCTTCTTCTTCTTCTCTAGCGAGGCATATCGGCTAGAGTTTGGATTTGGCCGAATGAGATGCTTAAATACTCCCCTTCCCTCGATCTGGGCCGTCTATTCGGGTCTGTGTGGATCAACCTCAGCAATCAGATCTTGTTTATTCGAAAAACAAATTTAGACTATTCAATTGAAGACATGTGAACTGTTCGATAAGGATTGCCTACGTAGCTTCATACGTGGAACTCGTGTCGGTGTGTCCACCATGCAGCGCGTGATGATTCGTCGTGCCACTGACTGGGCATACACATAGTCTGTATTTTTTCTTTTTGCGATTCGACTATTGTTTTCAAAATTTTCTTTCAAAACATACTCTTATTTATTTATAGTTTGACCATTACTTTTGAGAATTATTTCAAAAACATTCAAAATATATATCTCTAAAAAAGACAATAAACATAATTAAAATTAAAACTCACAAATTTTTATTATTAAAAAAAATTAAAATTTATCATTCCAAACTTAATTCTTGGACTCGGAACGTTACATATTATATTATCACTAGAATTTACAATGCTATTAATCTTACACACATATTAATATTTATAACCACAATTAAAAAAAAAAAACCAACAACTCTAAAAATTTCAAGTTGGTACAAACTGTTATGGTTTGATCTATTTATTTACGCTTTAAAACTCTTTTACGTATAAACAAAAGATTAATTAATTAAAGCGTTTTCCTAAACACACTCAAACCCAAATTAATAAGAAGTCAACAGACGGATCTGAAAAAAATTCGTCCGACGCCATATTGAAAGAGGAATTCAATTATTATTTTTAATTACTAAATATAAATTTATAATATTTTACTTATCACTATTTTAATTTTAATTTTTTAATGATGAAAATAATTTGGGTAATTTCCATCTTAAAAATTTAAAAAGGAAACTAGTGATAGTTAACATCAAATCAATTATGTTTTATTCTAAATTAAAGACTATAAATTGATCATTAAAAATATAATAAAAAATAAATAAAATACAAATTTAGACAGTGAGAAAGTAGATTAAAAAAAATAAATTTCTAAATTTAGACGCGAATATATGCATGTAGACAAAAAGAAAAATTAAAAATTAAAAATTAAATGGAGGGGATATTTGACTTCTGAAGTTTTGTACGTACATGTAAACTCTAGAATATAAGATGGACTCATTAGAAAATTTATAATCCGTGAACATGCAATTAGACATTTATTATTAAATTAAGTAATTTTAATTAATTTAACAATTTAACTAATAAAATATTTTCTTTAAGTATCTCTCGATACATTTTGCACCACGTGATTTGTAGTCAACCTTTCTTTTTTCATTAAAAAAAAAAAAAAAAATCAGCCATTTATACGGTGATTTCTTTTATACAAAATTGACGTGTTGTTCTTTTCAAAGTTTTAATGATAAAATATTTTGTAATAATTGGTCGTAAATTATTTATTTTGAAATTAAGAACGTGATTGACGATAATTTTGTTTTTATAATTTTACATCAAAATTCAATGAACAAAAAAACATATATTAACGAATTTTTTCATAAAATGTAGATGGTAAAAAGAAAGAGTTAAAGAAATGGAATTACCTACAGCATGCACAATAAGTCAAGAGCTCGGCGGCCGAGTTATGATTGCCACAAAACGACATCGTTTAAAACATTAATTTTCGCGTCACACGTGCGTAAGGCCATGAAGAAGCGAGGCGGTCCACGGTCCCACGGATCTCACACAAGAGTCGTATTACGTATGGGCAGAGGCTTGATTGGTCAAAGTAAACAATCTTCCACCACCGAATTTGTCATCTGTCAACTTCACTCAAACGTCAACGTTTCATTGGACCCAATTTTATTTTATTTTATTTTTTTTTCTTAAAAATATATCAATAATAAAAACCCAAAATCTGAAAAAATAAGGAAAATTAAAAAGAAAAATAAGTAATTTAGGCCTGCAGTTTTGACTGAGCGTGAGTCAACGAGGTTCATCTAATTATATATATATATATATATATTTGCTTTTCCTTTGAGACAAAATTTTGTAGGTGGTTTTAATTACGTGGTAAAATCAGTACAAGAGAAGGCAATAGTTGTTACTAATTTATAATTAAAAGCTCATTTTTAAAGAATTAACTCAATATTTCTTTTAAATAAAAACACTTGTATGGGTGAAAATGAAACTTGGAAGAAAGAAAAAGGTTTGGCAATTTATTCAAATTTATTTTTGTTTGAGAAATTTTCTGGTCGGAAATGAAATTAACGTAATTTGTTTTGAACGAGCCAAGTTAATTGCACAATATTCTTTTCCAAAGACAAGGAGTAGGTGCTCAGATGGTGATTGTTTTATTTATTTTCTTAGATGAAGTTTAAGCAATAATAAATTAATTTTTCAGACTTGACTCTATAATTATATAGCAACATTAACGTGTTGAATTATTTTATTACCCTCTGAATAATTTTATACCCAGCCCAGCCCAGCCCAGTTGTTAAAAATCTCATCTAAGCTACTTTCTCGGAAAGTTGCTGGTTCAATAAAAAACATGTGTGAACATGGGGAGTAGTTGAACAACAAATCTTATTTATTTACAATATGAACCGTGAAAAATGAAAATTATAAATTTCTGAATTATTTTAAAATATTAGTAAAAACTATTATTGTCATGCTCAATTATAGTAATAATTCATAAAAATACTAATTTTTGCTTGAATGTAATTCTTATCTTGTGTAATAGTTTTGATTAATAGTAATATTAAAATCTTATTTGATAAACTTTAAAATATATATATATATATATATGTGTGGTTAATTAACAGAGATATGTTTATTATATAAGTAACATAAAGTTTCACGTTTTGGGCATGTAAATGTAATTGGAAGAACGAGTCAAACATCTCCCCGGCCTATCTGAGCAGTCCTTAAAGGCCAGCCTCTCATTGATGACTCGTTCGCATCTGCAGTTTTTCTATTCAAACAACTCTATAAATCGAAGCCTTTCGCCGAAACCTGAAATTCAGAAAACCCATTTTCTTGGGAAACAATCTTCTGAACACACGTACATAGATATATATATATATATATATACGTAGATAGCTGACAACTAGAATTCACTCAGAAAACCCATTTACCTTGTCTTCTGATTTTGTAGCAGAAATTAGAGGAATAGTAATTCGCCATGGGTAAAGCTCTGATGATTGCTCTGTTTTCTTGTCTCATGGTTTCTATGTTGGTCTCATCCTCTGCCCAGCAGGCTTGTGAAGGTTTCAGTTTCTCCGGGAACAGGGTGTTCCGAACATGCGTGGATCTTCCGGTGTTGAACTCTTTCCTGCACTGGAACTTTAATGAATCAAGCAGCACGGCGGAAATCGCGTTCCGGCACACCGGAGCCAGCCCTTCGAACTGGGTTGCATGGGCTTTGAATCCAACCGGACAAACAATGATCGGTTCTCAGGCTATTGTGGCTTTCCAAAACTCTAGCGGCCAATTCCATGCTTTTACAACTCCCATAACCAGCTTCTTTCCCAGCTTCACAAATACTCCTTTGAGGTTTGGGGTTTCTGGGATTTCAGCGAGCTTTGTTGACAACGAGGCAATGATCTTTGCAACACTTGAGCTGACAAATGACTTGATAAACACAAACCAGGTATGGCAAGTTGGTCCCCTCGGCCCAAACGGTATGCCTAATCAGCATCTCACATCTGGACCTAATATGATGTCGGTGAACTCGATTAACTTCCAATCGGGACAGACCACAAGTGCCGGAGGAGATATCACCTCAAGGATTCGAAGAAGAAATGTAAGTTGATGTATTCATTTGATGCTGGTTCTGTTCTGTCTCTTGCATATGTTGCTTAATGGTGGATAATTGAGAACTGAAAATATTTCAGATTCACGGAGTGCTAAACGCGGTGAGCTGGGGCATACTGATGCCTATTGGTGCCATGCTTGCGAGATACGTGAAGGTGTTCAAAGTTGCAGACCCGGCATGGTTTTACATGCACGTAGTTTGCCAATTCTCAGCATACGTTATTGGGGTTTCAGGATTTGGGACTGGTCTTAAGCTTGGCAGTGAATCTCCTGGATTTACTCAGTACAGACACAGGAACATCGGCATAACCCTTTTTGTCTTTGGAACTCTTCAGGTAATCATTTTACCCACATCTGTAAAAGATTCAAAAAACGTTTTAGTTCTTGAAAGTTTATAAATCTTGAACTTGGTTGGACATATTGTAGGTATTTGCTTTGCTGTTGAGGCCAAAGCCAAACCACAAGTACAGATTTTACTGGAACATCTACCACCATTCGGTTGGATACTCCACCATCATCCTGAGCATCGTCAACGTTTTCAAGGGTTTGGACATCTTGAATCCAGACCAGAAATGGAAGAGAGCATACATTGGCATCCTCATATTTCTGGGTTGTGTGGCAGTCGTTCTTGAGGCTTTAACTTGGTTCATTGTCCTGAGGAGGAAGAGAGTGGAATCCGACAAGCTATCAGGCAGTGTTAATGGAACAACTGGGGTTAACCAGGGGGTTTAGATCGCACTCTTTCTTTTTTTTTTTCCTTTTCTGTTCTGCGGTCTTTTACGACACGATTGAGGAGGGTATATTACATGAACCTTACAGAGCTGCTTATTGATGTTTCTTGTTGTGTTAGATTACTTGGTAGAGAGGTGTTAATTTGCATGTGGATAGGCTGTAACTTTGCATCATATATACATATGTATAAATATATTCATGGGATTCCATTATTTTAGTTTCATATAATTAATAAAACATTGGATTATTCCATTTCATTGTTGCTGTCTTAATTCAGCTAAGCATGTGTTTTTCACCCATTTTCTCAATCCGCAAGTTCGGGAATTAATATCCCATTTGGGAGCTACATTAACACAGTATAAATTCACACATATATTGGCATTATATGTTTGGGAGTAGAGAAAGTAAAAGGAAGAACATGGCCTCCAAAAATGGATGAAATTTACTAACAGTAACATAATTTGGGAGCACTTACCTGTTCCTGCTGCAGGGGCGTAAAGGACCCTGTTTTGGGATGTTTGACTCTGCTTCAAGAATCTAGCCTATTTTAGCCAACTTAAAAAGAATATACGAATTTATAAAAAGAATGAACAAATTTATATTGGAAACGTAGCTCTAATTTTTCGAGCTGATGTAATGACTCTTTGTTATGCCATTTTGGGGTTTCTGAGTCCTTAGGCTGTGTGTTTATGGTTGTGGGTACCCATTATGGTCTGGTACGATATTGACATAGCCAAGAGCTTTGTCCTCTTAAATCATTGTGCTTTTTTTGGTGTTTTTGCCTGTAACTTTCTAGGGGTCAAGATAGACAGATTGATAAGTTTGTATCTTAAAGCTATGTCCGGTATGAGATATTTTCATTTAGATTGCTCATTGTTGTGGGGTATAAATTTTCCCTCCGCCTCAGGCTGAGTTGGTCTAACCAGAACGTTAGTCTCTTCAGGCAGCGCCACTGCTATATTTTGCATAGATGGTTGGTGTTTGGTACAGTGTTTTTTTTTTGTGGGTGCCGGGGAATGCCCTTTACGCTATATCAAGCCGTGGAAGTCTTTTGCTCTTTTTATATCTATACCAGTTTTGTTGTATTTATATTCGTTTTCTTAGGTTTGGTTTGGAGTGATTGACTTGTTGGTTAACCGACTTTTATTTGGTGGGGTTGTAGATATTTTTTATAAAGTTATCTTGCCTTCAAAGAAAATTAATTTTACCGAAACATAATGTAAATGAAAAATGGCAATCAAGCATAGGTTGATAAGAGGACAATGAGCTCCATCCATCAAGTGAAAAATGGAAAAAATTGCTATCTGAGGAATAAGCATCGGGAGCAGCAGCACTATTTGCTCCATTAACAAAATGTTTAGACAAGAAATGATGTCTGATTGTTTTCATGTAAAAAAATTGAACAAATGCAGGCTACTTTTGTTGTTAATTTAAACTGAAATCATTACGTTAGCTCTCCTTTACAGCTCCCTAAAAAGTACGCTTATGCTGAGAGGGCAGGACCTACACATGCCAAAGATATCCAGAATTTAGCTTCTATAAAAAAGATTGAGTAGTCGAAGCTCAACATGGATTGGCACAATCATCTATATCTGTGTTTGAATGATCTTTTAGCTGCAGAGTTGCAATTTCCTTGATAAGCACTGATTTGTCTGCTTCAAATTGTTCATCCTCTGCAAAATAGCAGAATATACACATCAAAGTTCCCACGAATACTATTGCCATGCTCCTCCGCATAGAACATAGATTTCAAAAAAATAGATGATTCTTACCTTTATCAATTTTGAAATCACCAAGGAAGCGGAGAATCTTGCTTCTATTAGTAACAAGTACATTGATGATCTCAGGAGGCTTATTTTGATTTGCAACAAATAGCTATCAATTTTCAAATAGCAAAATGAAGTATATTACTAAATTAAGAAACATATTATCTAGAATATACCAAGTCGAAACATATTATCTAGAATATACCAACTGGTAAATCACTGTTCCTTATCATACCTTGAATACATGAAAGGCTTCCAACTGTATAGTCTTGTTTGAATCCTGTAAGTGGGAAGCATAGAGAAAAAGACTTAGACGAATGCATAAAATTAAAATGCTAGAAGTTCAGGCACATATCTTGCGAGCAAATTGAGAAGAACGGTGAGTGCATACCCTTAAAAGATTCATTAGAATTCTCATGTTATCTAATGAGCTCACATATCGAACCATCACAGCAGAATTTGTGCGATCCAGTAACATTTTCCCCAACAGCTGAGAGATACTAAAGATTGTTAGCATAAAAATATTTGGCAAAGTGTCCTACTTCTGCCAAAAAATTGTTTGAAGTATTAATTGGTAAGATTATGATGGGCCATCTTTGTTTGCTTGATGAAATGAGGCTTTAGGAAAGTTGGGGTAAATACCCCAGCAAAAACACCCTGATGCTGACGAAAGGTGTCAAAACCATACGAATAAAATGTTTTTTTTGTGTGTAATTACTAGCACGTATGCTCATCATATCTATACCTGGACAGCATGACGTCTGGTGATGTAACTTGAAGATTGGAGCAACTCTGAATTGTATTCTGGGAAGAACTAGAATGAAAGAAAAAATGAAGAGAGCTCAGATGATGAAAGTTTATTTCACCAACTCGCTTTGTCAAGATAAATTTCAACAGAACTAAAATATCTTATCGAACAATAAAGTGCATTACAATAAACTCAGGTCTCTATCATACCAATAGAAGCAAAAACATTTAAGTTCATGAATGCCAAACACCCTACTACAGTCAACTTGCATATGGTTTTGGTGCCCAGGAAACCTGTTCTTTTACTTCTGATTTATATTTCTTTCATATAATAATAACTTAGTGGAATGCTATACATCTGAATTGTAAACTTGAAAATATTCTATACAAGGGCAACAAAGGATGAGTTAAATGATGAAAACTTAATTTCCAAAGTTAAAAAACCACACAATCACAGCGGGTATTGAAGTAAACAAAATCGTAATTTAACTACAAATTATGGCAGTCGCTAAAAATATTGGCACAAGATTACCTTTCATGTATAATTCTACATTAGTAACAATAGAGCACTATATTGCTTGTGTTTAAACGAAAAGATTATCATTTCTGCAGCCACATTAGGAATTACTCTTATTATGTTAATTACTATATGTGAATTTTGTTATCCATCAACACTTCATTCAACAAATCAATCACATTATATTTAGCAACTGACTCCCTGACAGTAATGAAGCCATTTCCAGAAAACCATTATAAGGTTCCATCAGACCAAACATGAAAGAAAGATTCACAAACAAAATATAGATGAAAAATAGCAAGAAAGTAAACAATTGCTAACTCACTATCTAAGGAATCACAAGAGCAAAGTTCTGCCATTAGAAAATTAGGCCAACCTCAAATCCAACACTTACCCAGTCATAGTTTGTGGAAAGGAACTCTGCCACAGTAGACTTATGCCTTGTCAAAAGCTCCTGGTAAAAGCAGCAATATATCAACACCCGTGCTTGAGAAAGTAAAATGAAAACAGAGGATAGAGACATTAGAAAAGTTAAACATGTCTACTTAGTGAACACAAGCAGCATAAAATTTAACGAACACATCATCTTAGAAATAGAAGAATATTTTTCTGCCTGTTACTCAACTTTAAAAGTAGCTTGGGCATCCGATGCTGTGTCAAAATTCGGACTCTGTATATAACTGAAAAACTTCTTCACAAGCTCTGGATTCAAAAGATACCTGCAAAACCAATAAGGGGAATTGATAACAATGGCGCAAAATTGTTGAAAATTTCTTGCCAGTAAGAGCAAATTCCTTGATCTAACATATCTTCTTCCATTCTTAATGAAATCCTGAATACATGAATGTGACTAAATTCACGATTCGAGATTCATAATTTTTCGTTTGTGTAAGTGGCAACAATATTTAGTGTGTAAATTCTTCCGACAAACAAATTCAATCTTTTTAAAAAGCAAAAATAAAAAAAACAGTCTATTCACTAGGCATCAAAGGAGTGCAACCCTAGAAATTCACTAATTGCTCCCACTCAATGGAAAAATAATTAGTTAAAAGATTCAGCTATAGCAAAAATTTTTCAATTTGGCAATGAATATAGTTGGCCATATTGATCATTACAAAGCTAAATTGCTTACTGGGCAACGCTCTGATGGCGTATGCATTCCCTTGAAATTGTGCCATAAGTTAAAGCAATGTCTGCATTTTCATAACTGGACAAAGGAAATAGAAGTTAATATGCGATCATGTATATGCCACATTGCACGATTTGTTTTATGTTAGTGAAAATAATATTATATGCTGATTGTTAACAAAATATTACCCAGGTAGCAAAATATCCATAAGATCTAAGTTATTTTCCAAGTACTCAGAAGCAATCGATCGTGAATTAACCCTTTGTCTCTGCAAATTAGCAACCACATGAGCGGCATCTTGACGGGCCTGCCAATAGATCATACACAGAATCATGAGAAAATATACCATCATTAAAAACGATATAGTAGGAAAAAGGATGCTGCAAATGCTACTAATAACACTGAGTCTTCAGAGGGGGAAAGACTAAGCCTATATTGAAATAAAATCAGAAACATGGTGGAATTCACTTGCAAATCTGCATTTAATTCAATGACAAAAATTTTCCAAGCATATCCTAAGCTCATATTCCAGCTCAAATTTCCCATTTGGGGAATTGTAGGAAAGCCAAAGAGTTTAATTCAGCCTCACCCCCATGTCCAACTTTGGAAGACAAAAAATGAGAAGGCGGAATGTATCATCTCTGAAGAACTCCTGGGTTAACTGCGCACAAGCCTCGGAACTGGGCTCTGATTGACCATTGCCATAAAGAACTGTCCTAATCTCCAAGATCAGGTCACTGAGTTCACCCATCTGCAAAGAAGCAAAATATTTATTGGAAGTACCATTCAAGCATGGAACATTGTTAACAGCTCAATGTCAATTCATAGTCGTTTCTGAACTTTGCATAAACTTCAGAGACTTTGTAATTCTCATGTAAATAACCATTATCTCGTCAAAAACTTGAAGAGTATATTAAAAGAAAAAGTAGTTTGGAAAAAAAAGAACAAAAACTATTTGGCTTATCAATTTCATGATTTTATCAATCTCTATATAAAACTTTTTGCAATGTAAAATAGAAACATCCTAGATAAAACCGATAGATATGGCCAATATAAAATGCATAGCTTTGTTTTCTTTCCATTATCATAAGACCACAAACCAAATCAATTAACGCCTGGTAGAAACTTAAGAGACAAGAAAATCTCCATATGAAAAGCAATTTCCTTTTCTTTTCCTCGAATCTAACAGTAATCATTAAAAAGCTGCATCTCCAAAATAATAACAGAAAAATACGATAAAATCAAAGGTAAAAATAAAATAAAGGAGAATGCAGATTAAAAAAAAAAGGAAAACAAAATTGAACCTTTTCTTCTCGTCTGCGTTCTCGAGTCTCCGTGTTACGATCGACGTAGATGAGAAGGTCACGTACCTGATGCACCAGCTCCACCGGCGACCGAGGCTTGTTCTTGAATAGCCCCATCATTATCTTTCGTAATAATATCGTTAATTCGGTCTTTACTTGCGTATATAAATCATACTATAATCTCCTTAATTTTATTCTCCGCGTTTCTTCTTTTTGCTTTGGGGCATGATTAGGGTTTTACAGGAGCGGAGGAAGAAATTTAATATGACGATGAAGTCTGAAGGTGTAGGGTTGCATGCGCAGTTGCAATCAACGGTCGTTTGAGAGGCTTCAAGCTTTTTTCGCCATGGAAGATCCTGATTCCTGTGTCAGTTATAAATAGTGCCGAGAAAAAATGCTTACTTTCATGTGATATCGCGTGTATTATACTTGCGAAGAAGTAAAGACACGTCATATAATCGAATCGACTGAGCGGCTGCTGTTGGGAAATATATGTGGAGCGCGTGAATGTAAACAGTTTCAAATAAAGGATTTAATCTTTTTTTATTAGGTAAATGAATTTCAGTAAAATGTATTCAGGACGTTATAATTAAGTTAAATTTTGTTCCACATTAGCCTAAAAATCTTTTTTGAAAATAATGGATCTACAAAATAAAATCTTATATTATTTAATTAGTTATTGGTTAAACCGTAGAAATATTAAATTTAAAAAAAAAATTGTATTAAAAAATAAATTAATAATTTATTCAATTTAAAATCAAGTGTAACCTAAATTAATATATGAGATAATGAGTTTTATACACAACCATAAATTAAGATAGTAAATAAACTTATAATATATACTAATGGCAATACAATCAATAAAATTCAATTAAATCTAATGAAACACTCCTCTCTCTCTCTCTCTCTCTATATATATATATATATTATCAATAAAATTACATATTCATATCTTACGCATCTTTAATATAAAAAATATATGAATTAAACATAGAAAATTATTTAAAGAAAAGAGTTAAAAAATAAAATTTTTGTTATAAATAAAGTCATAAGGTAATATGTATCATATATCAAGCTAAGATATGTGCTACTAATCATAAGAATTAGAATTTTAAATAATAAAAATAAAACTAAAATGTTAAGAAAAAAAAACTTTAATATCATCTAACAACAAATCAAACATTGAAACATTTCTAAAATAAAAAAAGAAAGTTGATTAGAAACCAATGGAATATCTCTATTTATAATGAACTTCAATCCATCTAAAGTTAATTCAACATCTAAATAATATTGAATAATCTAAATTTTTATTATACTATCATCGTAGTTTATATGTTATTAGCATATATAAAAATATCATTTTACTCAGTTAATCTCGAAAATCATCATAATCTAGTTCAATCTAAAATTAAAAAGTTATTTATCTATTTGTCTTATATAAATCTTAATTATTTTTTTATTCTTATTTGTTATAAGTATGACAACTTTAATCAAATATCTGACGATAAATAATGAAATTATTTATTATTTTATTAAGAAATATATATATATATATATATATATAAAAGACTGTAATTCTACCTACGTTTAATGATAAATCTATTAATTATAAAATTTTTAAAGAAGCACTCAATTATCACATAATATAATTTAATAAGATTTACTATGAATGATAATAGTATTATATTGTTTACAAAAATAATTTATAACAAATTTTATGATATTTTAGGATCACAAGTGAGTTAATAATATAATATTTTTAATCATATACCATTGCACCAATAACCAACAATTTTTTGAATTGAAACCACTAGCATTAAAAGTTTATTAGTGTATGATTAAGTCTCTTGTCGGTGTGCAATTAAATTTTTTATCTACCAATTAAATATTTTATGTAAGATTAGAATATTACAATTTTTATAATTAAATTTTTTAATATTTTTATCAAAATATAATATTAGACAATTACAAATGATAAACCAAAAATCATAAGATCATTTCAGTTTGGAGTCTGCTAAGTTAACACATGCTTGCATAACGTTTGTAATATCTTGGTCCCAAGCCTTATTGGTCTACAATTTTATGGAATTAAATAATCAATTTAAAATCAAGTTATTAATATATTTGACTTAATTTATTATGTGTAACTTAACGATTGTATTTATTTTTATTATCGGATTTAGATATTAGAATAAAATTATTTGAGCTCGGTTAAATTAATAGATTTTTTTTTTGAAAGTATTTGGATTGACTTTTTTAAGTAATCAAACATCTCTACAGCATAATTTAACTGCAAAAATTATAGAATATTTAAAACTTCAGTATCAAAATTTTAACGAATTTAATAATGTTTATTTTAGTCAATATATCCATTTCTCTAATATACTAGATTTAATAAGATAAACTTTTAATTAAAAGAAAAGTTAATGTAGTTTTTATAGTTTAACTGAAAATTTTATTTTAAAACTAATAATTTACCAAAAATTTTATGAATTTTTGAGTTTAAAGTCAAAATAACTAAACTTGTTAAATGTTATGCATTTATTTTTGAATTGTTGATCTAATTAAGTTTACAAGTGTAACACCCAAATAAAAAAAATAAATTTATTTATTTATTTATTTATTTATTTTTATTATTTATTTATTTATTTGATTTTTTAGTTAACTTAATTTAATTTAATTTAATTCAATGAAAATATAAATAATAAAAATGATAAAATTGGGTAAAAATATTATTTGGATTTAATTGAAATTGATTTTGAAAAAAAGAGGTGAAAATTTGGATTATAGGGGTGTTTTTTTAAAAAAAATCGGAAACCAGGAGTCAAAAAGCAATTTAAAAAAGTTGTGCCACGTCAGCACCATGTCAGCAGCCACGTCAGCGGCCCGGTCAGCAGCCCCGACCAACCAGAACGCGCTGCATGGCAAGGCAACGCTGACCAGGGAACGGGCAACGTGGGCGATCAGCGTGCGCGCGATCGGACGGCCCAGATTCGTTCCCGCGCACACGGACGGCCCAGATCAAACGTGAGCACGGACGGCCCAGATCCACGCGCACGGACGACCCAGATTCAATCAGGCACGGACGGCCCAGATTGCATCGCGATCGGACGACCCAGATTTAATCTTGATGGACGGTCAAGATTAAAAGGCAAAGGGTATAAATACCCCTACCCACACCTGACCAAAGAAACCTTAGCCGCCAGTGCTCGTCGAAGAAGAAGAACCAGACGTCGGAGGAGCCGGCCGCCGCCACCCGCCGCCGCACCGGGGAAGTTTCCGACCGCCGATCGAGGTAATTTTTCTCCCCCTTACTCGTTTTTCGACACTGAGTCTGCCTATGGCCAAACCGGAGCCAAACCACCGGCCAAATGGCCGGAAAACCCAGCCGAAACCCAGCGGCGACGCCGCGCCCCTCCTCGGTTTTTGCCTCCAATGAGGCCCTTCCCGGCCTCCGTTTGATGCAAATTTTATACCACTGTGATCACCGTTCTTTTCTCTACAGGTTAATCGGAGCCAAACATCAAAACGCGACTCACGCTGAAGGAGCCACCGCACCCGAGAGCACCGCCGCCGGTAAGTTTTGATTTTTCGTGATTTTTCGGCCCACCGAGAGCCCTAGAGTTGTTCTATCGCGGGGACCGATGCAAGCGTGGCCGAATTCGGCCGAAAACGGCCAACCCGAGGCGAATCGCCGCCGTGCCGTCGCTGGAGTACGGCAGAGCCGCCGTGCCAGAATTGCGATATTGGCCGAAAGGGGCCCTAGGTCTAATTTGAGATTTTTTGGGACACATGCAGGTACCAGTAGTGCATTTTAGTTCCCCGGAAAAAATTCAGAAAAAATTAGGGACAGCCTGTAGGCGCACTGTAGAGCCGTATTCACCCCGAAACAAGTAAGGACCCCTCACCCTGTTTCCTATCACGGTATTAAAGCTAAATAAATAATTAAATTGTACTTTGTGACTTTATAGATGCATAATTGATTAAGGTTGCCAATGGAGCCCGAGTCTGATACAGTGTTGGTCTGTTATTGTTTGATTTAATTTTCAGTATTAAATGCAGCATGATGTTTGATGTAATTATATTATGGTCCCGTATGCATGAATCATGGTTTCCTTATTATGGTCGGTATTATGCTTAACCCGATACTGTGTTGTCTTGTTTGGTGTCCATTACTGGTTTACATGTTGTGTGTATTTAGATGATTGAAACCAAGAAAAAGGTCAAAAAGGTTATGTGAATTGATAAGTGGATAATGTGGCCAGCCTGACTAGATATCCTGGGAGATGGTGGACGGACCGGGTCCGTAGGGAACCCTATCGGGAACGTGGTCTCTCATACCGGACTGGGTATGGGGACGGCCCATTTCACCCTCATACCGGACGGGGTATTGAGGTTCATGATTTTGGTGCCCATACCGGACGGGGTATAGGGACGGCTCTGGAATCAAGTTATAAATGTTAAGGGTTCACGGGTAGTGAGACCCCTATGGATCCCCATGGATACTAGTAGGCTGGTAAATAAGGAAAATGTGTTGTTTAATGATTGAAAAGCAAAGGCGTGGTAAGTATTATGTTGTACAGTTCATATGATTTCATGATGATGATAATGTTATTGCTTTTATATGTCGTTTTATGGATCTCATCGAGGTAAGTGGACAGTAAAGGTTTTTATGCTAATAAACGAGTTTATTATAAGTTATGCTCAATTGGTCTTTTTGTGTTTTTTACCGACCTTTACTTCCGTGGTGGTGAGATAGTGTGATGTCTTTACTGGACTGGTGTACCTCATTCCTTATTTAACAATTTCAGATCAGGAAGACATTGTTCCCGAGCCCGTTCCGCAAGAAGACGACGAAGGGGACGCCTAAAGACTCCGTAGTTATAATTATAGTTCTTATTTTTGAATATCTCTTTTAGTTAGTTTGTTCTTTTATATTTTGAGCACGTTTTTGGTTTTAGTGTAAGGGATGTTAATCAAAATTTTTATTACGCTTCCGTATTTGACATTTTTAATACACATATTTCATTCAAAA